TGGGATTTGATGGTCAATTCAGACTCGATTTTGAAATCTAATCATATATTTGGACTCGTAAGTTTATAGATAGTCAGTATATACCTCTTGAATCGGGTTTTGACCATGTAGGCCCAGGTTGATTTTTATTGACTTTTGAGAATTTGATTAAAAATTAAAACTTTATTGTTTGGAATTAATTCCTACAGCTTTGTTTAACGTTATTATGTTATATTTGACTAGATTTGAGTTGTTTGGAGGTGGATTTGAGAGAAAAAATTTATTTTGAAAGGTTGAAGCTTACCAAGTGGAGGTAAGTCTCTTGGCTATCCTTGTAAGAAGAAATTCTCCCCATAGCTGATCTATTTGCTACTTGTTGTTCGATTTACGAGCCACATATATGCAAGGTGACGAGCGTATATGCGTAGATAGGTTATGACTGTATCTGTAGTGTTGACTTAAGTTATGTCTTGTTTGGATTATGTGAAGTTATTAATCATGTTTTAATTGATTCTATGACTATGTGATGATTCAAAATTATGATTTTGAAGCATGCTTAAAGTTATGACTTGTCAAATTGGGCATAAAGGATTATGTTGCCACGTTGAGCTTTATTATTTATCCGTAGTCGTACTCTTGTCTTAGTTGCTAAATAATTTGGTATTTATATGGCTTAATTTACTTATGTTAAATAATATGATGAGACTTATGCATGTTGAAATAGCTTATTGAGCCGTTGTGATAAATTGAATTACATGATTAGCCATAGTCAACTTTTAGTCATATGAGCTTTTATACGCATCCTTATTGTTATGTCAGGTGCTTATTTATTATATTGTTTCTTGCACGTATGCATGAGCGAAGAGCTGATTGTTGGAAAAAGTTGAGAATTTTGGCACTATAGACACTATAAGCGAATATTTATTATTGGATAATGATATTGTAAAATGATCAACGCTTGGATATGGATCCATCCCTCCGGAGTCAGGTGATTACCCATGTTACTTTGGACCCTGTGAGTGTAGGCACCCGCATTTTTGGTGCTTGGTTTGGGCACACAGCTTGCGTCAGGCACGCGGATTTGTGCTGTGAGGTATTAACAAAGGATCCTAAGCATGCATATGTATACTTTGACTCATGCAACAGTTTTATATAAATTTTGTTGACATGTATCATGTCTTTATATGAGAATTAAAGTGTTTATACCTTAATTTGATCTCTTTTATCTGTAAATCATGCCTAAACTTCGTATTACGTGTGTTTTGAGATTTCGTACTTATTTGATGAAGTCATGCTTTGTTTCGTATCTTATTTATGTTTTCACCTACTTATTGGATTGTTAGTAAGTATCGATGTCGACCCCTCACTATTATTTCTTCAAGCCTAGACTTGATACTTACTGAGTATCGAGATTTTATACTCATACCATTGGCTTGACTAGCGAGCGGGGTAGGCGCCATCACGGCCTTTGGTTGAATTTTGGGTCATGATAATAATATTTGAACGTGTTTATAATTTTATATCCTTTGCACATATTGCAGATAAAAGAATCCTATTATACACAAGAATATGTACATATCGATCTTTTGATATGGTTGTCTATTTTGCACAGATATGAAAACTGCCATGTTCGTTCTCCCATGTCAATATAAATGCTTTTGTCTATAGTTTGTTTTGAGCACCAAAACATAAGATACAGTCAATAGAGTTAACTGTGCTATTCATATATACACGAGTCACTCCGAGATTGGCATATCAATCTACGCCAATGCAACATATAATTTGTAGAATTTGTCCAATAACTTGAACCTGGCATGTTGTAGGCTTAATTGTAGTGTCGTTTTCATTATTCTCGAACGAATAAAGTATATATGTATATATTTATCTCCAAAAAAATAACCTGAAAATACATTGTTGGCCCCTACTGTACACGAGCATTTCAGATCTATAAAAAAATCACTTTCACAATTTGTTTCCAACTAAATTAAAGTCACCTGATATGACTGTTTATACAGATTAGTGGCGGCAAAATAGATAAAAGAAAACAGTTATCCACTCATATTATCCATTAAAAAATGAGTTGGATAATGAACTTTTTAAAAACGGGTTGAATATGGATAAGAACCATATTATCCATTTAGAAAATGGATAATCAATGGATAACTAATGGGTTAACCATTTACATTTGTAAAGCCTCAAATTTGGGGTTCCTCAAATTTGGGAGACTAGAAATTCTCCGTACGAAATATGGGTCGGGTCAGATAATTTATACGTTTTTACATTACCTGTTTTCGACCCGTTCCAATCCGATCTGATCCAACCCGCCCGTTTGCTACCCCTAATAAAGATTTACACTCATTCCAATAAAACTATTTCATGTATGATGTAGGGTGTGTTTGGGACGAAGGAAAATGTTTTCCTAGGAAAATATTTTCTTGAAAAATAACTAGTTTTCTTACTTATTTTTTAATGTTTGGTTAGGTAGTAGAAAATATTTTTGAAAAATATATAATTTAGGCAAACATTATATGAGACGAAATGGGTAAGGACGAGGGAGGGCGATAGGTCAAGGTCTAGGGGTCGGAGTGGCGATAGTGATGTTACAGGGAGGGCGAAGGGTGGCAGGGCGTGCATGCGGGAGGAGGGAGGTGGGAGGTTAAGGGTTGGAGTGGGGG